TCAACCGAAGGTCATTCTCCAGAGAAGAGTACATCTGCGAGAAGTGAGTGGCCAGGTATGGGTATCGGGGCGGGGCACGAACAACATCTACTACATTGTAATACTGTTTCCTTACTTGCTTCTTAAAAAAAATTATTTATTTATTTATTTATTTTTAGGGAGGGGAAAGGGAGGGAGAAAGAGAGGGAGAGAAACATCGGTGTGAGATAGAGGCATCAGTTGCTTTTCCCAAGCACCCAAACCAGGGACTGAACCTTCAGTCCAGGTCTTTGGCCTGACCGGGAATCGAACTGGCAACCTTTCACTTTGAGGAATGGTACACAGCCACCTGAGCCACACTGGTCAGGGCTCCTTCCTTGCCTTTTGACTTACGTAAGTTGCACGTACTTGTCTTGTTCTTTTTAACACCTGTGGGCTATACCATCTCATTATATGGCTGTACCATAAGTTATTTAAGCACTGTTACACTGTTTTTTTTTCCTTCCTCCTTCTCTCTCCTTCCTTTGTTCCTCCTTATTCTTCCCTTTCCTCTTCTTGCTTCCCTTTTCCTTTTAGACAGATAAACATATTTACTAGGCCACAATTAGTATACATTTAAAATTTTGGTATATACTGCCAAATTGCCATTCAAAGTACTTGTGTCAGTACATATGTATTCACTGATAGTCTATAAGAGCATATTTCTCCATTATCTCCAAGGAAACATATATAGATATTTCAAAACTCTTAAGTACAAACACCAAACACATTCAACTCTCTAAAAACTGTCAAGCAACATAGTAACAAAATAAAATTTCAGGGAGAAAAACACACCTTACAAATATATCTTCATTTTCAAATTTCTAATCTTTATTCATATACATATATCATGGTTAAATAATTGTTACTGCCATTTGAATCCAGTGTTTTAATTTTGCTGATATCATATGCAGGTCAGCATGTTGTTTATATTTCATAATTATTTTTAAAAAAACCAGTTATGACTAGCCTTATCCTGTAGGTCTCAATTTTGAGGATTTTTCTATAGTATGAACAATTTTCCAAACTTTTAAGAAAGTGGTTACATGAATGATTTCTTGAAGCAACTGAAACATTAGAAACATTGTTTCTGAAACGTTAGTATCAAATCTTTGAAGTTGAGTGTACCTTGCTTATCTCTCATATACCTGAGTCTAATTTACTTGGGAGTTAGTTTCTGAAATCAGTGAGCACCTGGGAAATCTGACATAGGTAGAAATTCCTTTTGAAATTTTCTCAGGAGCGATACCAGAGTGGAGACAAACATATACAAGTGGTTCGAAGTCTAGCATAGCTAGTTTTTTCCTTCATGTTGGAATTGGCTACTTTTTCTTAGTCAAATTATGTTTTTGAAAAAAAGAAGAAAAGATAGAAAGAAAAGGGGGTACTTACTCTGTGAGAGAGAACTGAAACCTAGGAAGCTGTTGTTCACTTTCTTTCTCACACCCTCTTGGGACAGGTGGTCCTGGTGTGGAATTGCCTGTCATTTAAATAATTTTCTTTCTCTCACATGTAGTTGAATTTGTATTAGTTAATTGTAAGTATATTGCAACTGCACTTGAAGTTTTTAAAAAATTAGGTAGTTTAAATAACAATAACAAAATGAAAACCCAATTGAAAAACAGATTTCTTATTGGCTCATGATGACCTTTTCTTTTGTTATCTCAGAACGTTCTGATACATGTTTTCATGTATTCAATTTAGGTTTGTAATAAACTGCGTGACATGAGGATACCATCATTTCATCAGTTTAGATTATTAAATTTCTTAAAATTTTTTTTATTGATTGATTTTTAGAGAGAGAGAAGGGGGGGAGAAAAGGAGAAGCATCGATTTGCTTTTCCACTTATTTATGAATTCATTGGTTGATTCTTGTATGTGCCCTGAATGAGTATTGAACCCACAACTTTGGCATGTGGAGACGATGGTCTGTCCAACTGAGCTGCCTGGCCAGGGCTAGGTCATTAAATTTCTAAAATGTTTACTTTGTGCTTTATTAATTTGAAAATCCCAAGGACTTTCTTAGAGGGCAATATATTAAATAACGTCTCTCCATTATAAATCAGAGTCTCTCCACTAGATTTATAAACTACCTGTGTTGTAGTAGTAGTAATAGCAATAATAGTAGTAGCAGTAAAATAATAATAATAAATTGTAATAATAAGAATAGCAGGCACCATTTGTCCTTTGCTTACCTTAGGCCAGTCTCTGTCCAAACGAATTACTGCATTTAATCCTATCAGACAAAGCTACGTGATGGTGGGGACTGTCTCTTTTATTCACTGCGATATTTCCAGTACAGCTAGATGTGACTGCCATGTAAGAGCTGCTTGATAAATATTTGTTACATGGCTGGTTAATAAAGTATAAACATTCATGCCATTTCAGAGTAAAGCACTTCCTCAAGGGTAAACTTCCAGTAATGGAACTGGAACTCAAGCCCACATGGGACGAGTTTATCTAATAGCAGCCAGCCATGTGTAGTAATGCCGTGTTATTTACTATTGGCTTCAGGTTGGGTTGGCATACTTTTTCCTAAAGAACCAGATAGTAACTATTTTAGACTTTGCAGGCTGGTGCTCTCTGTTGCAGCTACCCAGCTCTCCACTGTAGCATGAAAGCACCATAGATGATACATAAATGAATAGGTGTGGCTGTGTCCCTGTAAAACTTTATTTGCAAAAGTGGTGGCAGTTTTTGCCACCACTGGGCTGTGTAGAGGAACTACCCAGGGCTGTGTAGTTCCTCTAGTTTATCTGCCTCGCCTTCGGTGGTCTCTTGCTCCCAATGTCACAGTGTCCCACGTGTGGCATGTGTGCTGTGAGTGGCAAACTGGTGCTTGTGGTTTGGTGGTCATCTAGGTGACCCTCAATATGTTCGTATTAATTTTTTCATAATTAAACTGGAAATAAAGACAGAATTTTAAAAGTTGTCATGAAGAATTTAGGGATCTTCAGGGAGTCTTAGACCCTACTTTGAGAAAAAAGGGGTGTAAAGAAAGAGCAAAAGTAAAAAAAGGACATAACAAATGAGATATAAAGAATATTATGATAGTCTGTTCTTTTACTGTTCGATTACACTTGTCCTCGTTTTCCCCCGTTACCTCCCCCTCCCTGCCCCGCCCCCGCCTCTTACCCTCAAACCTCCTCCCCATGGCCTCTGTCCGTGGGTCCTTTCTACATGTTCCTGGATGACCCTTTTCCTTCTTTGCCCCATCATTTCCCTCCCCTCTTCCCTCTGGTTACTGTCAGTTTGTTCTTTATTTCCATGTCTCTGGTGATATTTTGCTTGCTTGTTTTGTTGATTAGATTCCTCTTATAGGCGATGTCATATGGTCTTTGTCTTTCACTGCCTGGCTTATTTCACTTTGCACTTAACATAATGCTCTCCAGTTCCATCCATGCCGTCGCAAAGGGTAGGAGCTCCTTCTTTCTTTCTGCTGCATAGTATTCCATTGCGTAAATGTACCACAGTTTTTTGATCCACTCATTTACTGATGGGCACGTAGGCTGTTTCTAGCACTTGGCTAGGCTATTGTAAATTGCACTGCTATGAACATTGGGGTTCATGTTCTCTGTGTTAATCTGTTTTAATATGTGTGTAGCATTTAAAAATTGTATTATTTAGTGGGAGACCAAGATTGGGGAGGAGGGAGCAAGCTTTTGAATATTTTTTCTTTGTAACTACAGGTTACTGGTACCAATTCCTGTTTTTTCTCAGGACCTGGATTTCATTAATTTTTTGCTGTTGCTGGTTGCTTTTTCTTTGGCTTTCTTTCTATTTAAAATTTTTTCCTCTTGGGAAATTGTTAAGTAACTGTCATGTGTGTTGCATCCTTTTTAGTAACATTTCAATGATCTAGGAAAGGACCAGTCTTAATTATCAAAATATTAACTGCAGAATATTAAGGAATATATTTACATTTTAAATTTTCTTTAGGAAATAGTTATAACTAAACTTTTGCCCAGCACCTTGCTTTAATGGATATGTAATTTGTGTGGTCATCATTTACTTACTTTGCGATTCTAACATATTTGAGAATGATTTATGACGGTGTAATCTGCATAGGGAGATTATTTGGCGTCTGCGGTTTGTCTAGATAGTTTTCTTCAGAGAATAAAGCAAAGTTCAGCTAAACTTGTCACAAATTTTGTAGTAGTAGGGTCCAAGCAATGGGCTGTTTGTGTTCTAGCCCGTTAGGCCTAGATTTTTGAAAATGTGCATCTAAAAACAATAATTATGTGAGAAATTTAATTAAAGGGTTGAGATTCTACGCTATCACCTTTGAGGTGTGTGCCCTTGAGCAAGTTAGTGCACTTTTCTAGGCATCTGTTTCCTAATCTATAAAATGAGGACAGTATAATAATAATAGCAGCACCCAGCGTTGATGGGAGGGTTAGAAGTGCTAATGCACGGAGAGTTCTGACAGAGTCGTGGGCGGAGCCTAAGTCTGTCAATGTGAACTACTATTACCATGTGATAAGAAGTTACTCTTAGGAGTTGTGAGGATGGATACCTATTTTTTAAATATAAAAATAGATTTTATTTATATGTTTTATGTATAAGCTCATTATTCTTCTATTCTTTATTATAGTCTTTCATTATAATTATTTTCTAAATTATATTTAGTGACATACTTATTTATGTAAAACAGTAGGGATATGGGAAACTGTCTCAACTAATCTAGGACTCTGCAGAGAAAATAATCAAAGTTAGAAATAAGACATAGCCTATATTTTCAGCATAAGAGGCATGTATGAGCTCATTTAAGTATTGTCTTTTACTATTTTAGAAGTTATCAAGTAGAGGAGCAAGGGTTTATCTTTTTTGGTATCAGACTTCCACTTTATTTTACGGATACCCTCTTAGTATGTGCATATACAACTTGGTTTCCTGTACCTCTCTCTTCACAATAGAATGATAAGCACTTGGTTGAGTTGTCAAATTATACAGTGATTTATTGCATCTTTCTTTGTTTCTAGGATGATTGAGGAAAGTGGGAATAAGCGGAAGACCATGGCAGAGAAGAGGCAGCTGTTCATAGAAATGCGTGAGTCTTCAGTGCTTCTGGAGTCCTTGTTTATACATGTGGGAGTGCTTTTTTTCTTCTTCTGATGAAGTCACAGAAGTTTTAAGTTACAGGCTTTAGAATGGGAAGAATGAGAGTTAAAGACCCATGGAGTTGTAGGATCCCAAGCCAGAGCATATTATTTTAATTGAACTGCCTTGAACTACTTTCCTAAGTGAGGTCATAAGTAGTAAGGCAGGAATGTCACCTGGAACATCTGTCAGATCAAGGCATGCCAGTCAGTTTAGACCTCTTGCTATAAGTCCCTTGTTACCGTGAGCTTGTAGGTGCTGATACATAGTTACTATGTCATTTAAGTTGCCTTAAACCAGGTGCAAATTCGGAGGTAGAGAAGACTGTGAGGACAACACTTAGAGCAGGGGGAAATTAACAGCATGAAGGTGTACTTCGGTGTATTACTTTACAGTTTGAAATCTGTTTAAACTTTACGTTATTGTACAAAGCTGAACAAAGGAAAAAGGACAGCTGAGAGGCATGGGGTGGTCCCCCGTACTTGAAGGATTGTTTTGCTCTGTGACTACTTGTCTGTGCGACCTTGACTCACTTGCTGGACCTCAGATTCCTCTTCCTGAAATGGGGTTGCTGGTCTGAGCCAGGGATTGTGAAACCTTTGGAAAGCATCTGACTGTTGTAAAATCGGTGCTGCTCAGCTGAAGCTGGGAGGGAGGCAGGAGCCCGGCCCGGGACGGCCCCTGAGGTCCTTTCTCAGGGTGCAGGCCAGTTTGGGTGCCGAGGGTGAGCGTCCGAGAGAGTGAGAGCAGGGGCAGGCTGACCTCCTTCCGTCACCTGTCTTCCTGAGTCAGGCAGTGTCACTTCTGCCCCATTCTGTTCATCAAGGCAGCCACAGGAACCTGCTCAGATGCAAGCAGAGGGAAATAATCTTTAGTTCTTGATGGGGAGGGACAATGTACTGGAAACACATAAAGTACTGGTCTGGAAATTCCATTACGGCCTTTTTTTTTTTTTCTTTTTTTGGAAAAATATAGGCTGCCACAGATCTGGAAGGGGGCCTCAGAGATCAGCTGGTCCAGTTCCCTCATTTTACAGAGGACACTGAGGCTGAGAAGAGGCACATGACGCGGCCACGGTCATGTTCTGGGGTTGGCGGTCAGGCTGGGGCTGGAACTGACATCTCTGAGCCTAGGCTCCAGCCTTCCCTGCTCTGCCACTTCATTCCCCTTCCTAATACAGACAGTTAGCTCATGCAGAACCCGAGTATTCCTCCCCTCAGAGCTTTCTCAGGCCAGCAAACAAGGTAACGTAGGTGCGACGACCGGCACCGTGGCTGGCGTGGGGGGGCATGCGGGAGTGTGCCCTACCCCTTCCTCCCGCCTTTGGTTTTATCAGAAGAAGGCTTAGGTGAGAAATTATGTGTGCACTGTGCCAACACAGCGGAATAGAGTCTCTTCCCAGTATGTAGAAATTAAACAGTAAATCCAATTGAACATGTTTTATTTGCCCTGTTTTCAGGTGCTCAGAATTTTGATGTCATACGACTATCAACTTACAGAACAGCATGCAAATTACGATTTGTACAAAAACGATGCAACCGTAAGTCATTTCTGTGGTAGCTGGATAGAGCTCTCAATAATGTAGAAGACTTTAATATCTTTTAGTCATGTTGTAATTTTAATTGAATTATTTTTGTCTTAAGTACTTATCAAAATATAAGCCTTGTAATGGAAAGAACTTGGCACTTTACTCTGAGTCCCTCAAAGTATTTAATCAACTCAATATGTAACTAGTTTTGAGGCTGGTGTATTATTTATGTTCTCCTTTAAATGGGAGAATGAATTTCTCCTTGTCACTTTTTAATGAACAGTTTGCTGCAGAATTAGTGCAATTTATCAGCTTCTGGAGGAAAAGAAAAACATTAATATTTTGATAAAGGTGTAATAGGAATTAACTTTCTTGATTAAACTTAATATAACATGAATTAGCCTTTTCTATAAGCAGTTGCTACCATAATCACTACTTATAAAATAAGTAATAAAGTAAATGTGAACATATTCACATAATATGCATAAAAATCTTCCTTAATTTCCATGAAGGTGAACTAACTTATGACAGAATTATTGTACTCTTCTCGTGTGTGTGTGTGTGTGTGTATTAATGAAAAACTGTTTTATATAATGGAAAGAACATTTGCTTTAGGGAAGAACCTTCGTTTTAGTCCTTGTTTTGCCATTTATTATAAACACGTGCCTTGGACAAGTCACTTATACAGCTAAATACTTCTACCCTACTTTAAGTCTTACTAAAAAAATCCTAGCTTAAAATTCTCTTTAAGGAGTTTACCATTCCATCCTAAACTGAAGTCATGTTTATTTTCTTGTGTTTCAAAGCAGTTTTTCAAATTATGGGTTGTGACCCATTAATGGTTTATGAAATCGTTTTGGTGGCCCTAGACAGAATTTAAAGCAAGTAATAGAGAAAAGAAAGAAAAATAAAAATCAGAACGCAGCTTATGTGGTAAATCTAAAAAGTACTTTGTGAAACTTGTTTTTTACTATATCTAAAGATGTGTCTGTGTGTATGAGAGAGAGAGATGATTTAAATATAATTTTGTGGGTTGTGGTCAAAAACTTTGAAAACCACTGCTCTAAAGAACCTACTATTTTTATAATTCTTCCTGTAATTACTCTTGGAAATGGTAGTCTGTATATGGAGTGCTGAGAGTCTGAACCAGGTTAGTGGCATTAGTAAAGTAAAGTAAAAGATACATTGTTCTAGAAGTTTTAGTTTGTCACATATGATTCTTGATCCACATGAAAAAATTTTTGTGGGTATACAGTATACGTAGGGGTCAAACTTCAGTTGTTTCTGTATGTGTGTTCTGTTTTCCCTATACTGTGTATTCAAAGACCATATTTTTCTTCACTAGTAAACAATCTTTTCTTCATATTCTTTGGAAAAATGTACAAGAATATTTATAGCAGTGTCTATATATGAGAAGACCTGCTTTTGGACTCTCATGTTCCATTGGTCTGTTTGTCCTTGTACCAATAACCACTGTTACAACTTTATAATAAGTCTTGATATCAGGTAGAGCAGGTCTTCCTACTTTGCTCTGTGTCTCTCTTTAAGATTGGGGCATTCTTGGCCTTTTTCTTGACATTTATTTTCATATATAGTTTAGACCCTGCTTGTCAATTTCTACTGAGAACAAACAAAACACTTTCCTGGGATGTTTTCCTTCTTCTCTTTTTATAAGTATAATTAACACATAGCAAAATTCATCCTTTTAATGTACAGCACTGTGGGATTTTGTTGGGACTGTACTGAACCTGTAGATCAAATTGGGAGAATTGATGTATTTCCCATATCTCCAATATTGAGATTTCCTCTTGTGACATGGTATATTCTTCCATTTATTTAAGTCGTTCTGTCAATTATAAATTTTTTTTGCAGATGTTGCACATTCTTCATTGGATTTATTTCTAAGTCTTTAATGACTTATAATAGTTTTAAAATTTCACTGTTATGATACATAGAAATACAGCGACTTTTATGTTGATCTATGTTTAGCAATCATTCTAGACTCAAATATTAAATTTGGTAATTTATCCATAGGATTGTTATGATTTTCTATGTGTATAATTTACTCATTTCTGAATGACAGTTATATTTCTTCATTTTCAATATTGATACCAATAATTATTGCATAATTATATTATTAGGACCTGAAGTACAGTTGAAATGATGATAGCAGGCACTTCTTGTCTCGTTCCCAATATCAGAGGAAAGGCTTTCAGCATTTTCTATCAAGTAATATGTTTGATTAATTTTTTTGTAGGTAACTTTAATTAGAGGAAGTTCCTTAGTATGTGTCTTCATTTCTAAATATAAAGTTCATTTAAAAAGTTATCTTTTTTATAATGATTTTAAATTTAATTTCATTTTGTTCAGAGAGCATGATTTGTAGGGTTTTAATCCTTTGAAATTTGTTCACATTAGCTTTATGACTTAGATAATGTTAATTTCTATACATACTCTTTGGGTTCTTGAAAATAAAGCATTATTTTCTAATCATTGGAGGCAGTAGTTCATACGATGTCCATTATGCCTCTTTTTGTTGGTTGTAAAGTTTAATTTTCTCTCTGTACTTATTTTTTGTGTAAGTTTGCTCTCTCATTTACTAAGAAAGGTGTGTTAATAGTGAATTTGTCTCTTTGACGTACGGTTGAATTTTGCATTATATATTTTTGAGGCAGCTGTAGAGGAGGCAGTACTTTACTCTCTTAGGGTTTCTGGTCAGGCCTTAGAATTAAATTGATATGAGAGAGATTAGCAGGAGAAAAACACAGACTTTTACATGTACACTGGAGACCCCATAAGAAATTGAAGACCAAAAGGGTAACTGGACTTAAGTGCTTATACACTAGGTCGAACAAAGTGTAGCAGTTTTGGAAGAGTAACTAAAAAATATATGGGGAGACTAAAGAAAGATAAGAGTTATTTTAACAAGTCTGTACAGACTCTTCTTGGCCTTGGTTTGGTGTCTCTGGTGATTAGAATGTTGCTTTCCCCTGGAACAGGAAAGGCATCTTTCACATGGGAATTTTATTTCCTGCTGTCAGTAAGAAAAGGTGAGGGTCAGAGCACAGTTTTTGGCACCTGCTGATTTTCAAGTGTCTTTAACTCAAAGGAATCCTTATGCCAAAGTGGCATATTGGGGTGGCATATTCTGCCACCCTTCACTAATCTATTAAATGTAAATAAATGTAAAGTTGTATGTCTTTTTGATTAATTAAAATCTTTTAACTTGTTGACAGTTTGTTTTCTTTGTGTTTTAGTCCATCTCGTTGATATCTGGAACATGATTGAAGCCTTCCGAGACAATGGCCTTAATACACTGGACCACAGCACTGAGATCAGTGTGTCCCGCCTCGAAACTGTCATCTCGTCCATTTACTACCAGCTGAACAAGCGCCTTCCTTCCACTCACCAGATCAGCGTGGACCAGTCCATCAGCCTCCTCCTCAACTTTATGATTGCTGCATACGACAGGCTAGTACCTTACGTGCTTACTTAATTTTCAGAATGTTTGTCCCTTAATCATCATTCTTCCATACTTCCTTGCTAAGGGCTGTCAATTTAGAATCATAGTTAGTGACGTACTGTCCTGCAGCATGTCACATATTAAGCTCTAGAATGTTTTGGAGAATCATACACTTGAGACATAGTGTTTGGTAAAAGTATAGTTGCCCATTCAGTGAAAGAGGCATGTTATGAATTTGTGCATGAGGGTTTCTATTTGATTTTATTTCTTTTTATTTTTAATCCTCACTGAGGATATGTTTTTATTGATTTTAGTGAGAGAAAGAGAGAGAGATCAGTATAAGAAAGAAACATCAATCTGTTACCTTCTGTACATGCCCCAACTGGGGATTTGAACCTGTAACTTAGGTTTGTGCCCTGACTGGGAATTGAACCCACAAACTTTTGGTGTCCAGGATGAGGTTCCAACCAGCTGAGCTACCCGGCTAGGGCTCTGTTTGACTTTTAAAGCTAACTTTATTATGTACAACAAATACCCCTGAACTATATGGTATCTTGCCTTTATTTATGTTCAGGGTCTTATTGTAATTCTTTTCAATGCAGAACTTTGTCTTATAACCTTACAATAATAGAAGAAAACTGTTTAAATATACTCTGAATTAAAACAGAAGTGAGTTGCTCTATTTGTATTTATGGTGAATTAAGTTGGTTTTACAAAAAACAAAAAAGAAATCATAAATGATAAAAACACAAAGGTTACAGTTGTATTCCAGGAACCAAGAGTTAAGATTTCTGATCTCTGCTATTTTTACCAGCCATCTGATCTGGAAGAGTTAATTCTCTCTGCTTCATTTTTTTCTCTCTGTAGGCCTATTTTTTTGTTCATATATTTGCTACTAGTTGAACTTTATAATATTGAGGATTCTGTGAATTAATGGTAAAACCATACAAGTGTCAAAGCCAAGTTACAACATGGGCACTCACTAAATTTACAACATTTTTATGTTATAAATTAGATATTTTATTCACATAAAAGAAAATTATTTAAGGAAATTTGAATTTTTAAAACAAGTGTGGCATGAGACATAACTCCCAAAATCCTGATGCCATTTTTTAGCAATTTAGATAGTGAAGCTATCCAACAATTTGTGTTGAAGGAACCAGGTTTTTGTTAACAGGGTTCCAACCTTGATGGGGCTGAGAGCACCCTCTCTCGCAAGAACTAGCAATTCCCTTGCTTCCCACCAGGCTACAAGCCAAAACCTTGCCCAGAAGTTCCCCATATCCTTGTCTGTTCTTAAGCCAGTTGCACAGGCAGATCGCCACCCTCTCTGGAAGGTGCCCTTGTGGGTCTCAGAGTCGCCACCCTCTCACAGCTGCTCTCTCCTTTAGGATCTGGGGTGTGCTGTTCTCAGCCTCTGTATAGTGGTTCAGGAAAACGTATGCTGGATGACGCTGGTCATGGTGGGACCCAGGGAGGCACGTGTCCCAGGAGAGCGACTTCTCCGTACATGCTTCAGAGAAGCAGAAGTTTGCAGCTCAGCATCCCCGGTCACGGTTCAGCACCCCTGGTCATGGTTCAGTTCCAAGCATCTCCCACAAATCTGGGTGTGGTTAGGCAGGTCCCTGCAGCTCCATCAGCTCTGTCATGGTCTCCTCTAGTCTTGCCTTCTCCCCCTCCAGACCTTGTGGTACACCCCTGTGTCTCTCTCGCTCACTCCTGACTTCTTTTCTTTGTGATGGACTCTCTTCGATAGCCCTTCAGCCTATCCTCATTTAAAAGCTCAGCTAGGAACTTCCTGCCTGACCTCATATCTGGTTCCTCCTACGATGTGTTAGCGTCGCCATTTTTGCCAGTTCCTTCGTATCTTTTATTTTCGTTCGGCTGCCATCCATAGTCAGGGCAAGAGTTCCCAGTGACACGGGGAGCATCTCGGGTGGGCATGGCCCCCGCTGGCCCCGTCAGGAACCACTATCTGCTCTTAAAGTCACTGCACCTTTTGCCCTGGGCAGTGGTCCTCTTTTCTTCAGGAAAGGTATGGCTATTAACTTGGCCTTTTTATGCAAATTACCTTAAACACTGTCTCATCACTTCCCCCTTCCCCTAATCGAGGGTTGTGAGGGATGTGCTCTGCTATTTTCAGGGGACCCTGGCCCTGTACCCTGTTACAGTAACCGTTGTTCTGTGATGAGCAAGCAGCACCTTATCATGGCACTGACTCACTGAGTAAAGCAGTTCAGATTGCACAACACAAATTAATCCAAGAAACAATATTTTTAAAGTCAGAAAAAAAGTCATCTTACTGAAATGATAAAGCAGAGTTTATAAACTTTGAATCCATGATTATATCAAGCAAGGTAAATACTATGGCTATAGAAGCGAAGAAGAATGGAGAGATAGCAAAGGGGAGAATGGGGAAACCAAAGTTAGGAGCAGAAGGTACAGAGGTACCTGGGACATATTCAGAGAAAGCTAAAGGTTCCTTTAGGGTAAAGACTTTTATATATCTAATTTATGATGGATTTATATGAAAAATTCCTGTATAGTTTGGAAAAATGACTATGACCTATTTTAAAATCTTATTTTAGCAGCTTAATTTGGGTGTATTTAAGATTTTCCCTTGTTCCCTCTTTATGCTGAATGCTAAAAACAAAACAATATAAAAAAAGCAAAAACAGTTCATTTTAAATTCTGAATATGCCCAACTAGCATATTATAGAATGGACATTGCTGAAAAAAGATAATATTAGGTTACTGTCTTACTGATTAGTGATTTTTAAACAAAACTAAAATTTCCTGGGAGGCACAAATATTTTCTGTGCAGAAGAAAAAAGGCCACATGCGAAACCTGACCGGGTGGGGGGAGTGTGGGGGGCGGGGCGCTGTGTGGCAGCTTTCAGACTCAAGAGACCTAAAGTAACCACATGGTATGGTCTGAAACTAAAACTTTCTACTTAAAGCAGCTCATGGTGAGTAGTCATGTCCTAGGCAGGTGTTTTTCCCTAACAAAGGTCAGTCTGTACTTTAACTGAGCCTGTGTGTTGTCTTTTTGTATCCACAATAGCACACCTTTAGAATGTCAAGTTTCTGTATCCCTCAAAGCACAGGCTCCTCATGGGAGAGACCACAAATCCCCTCATTTGCATTGTTAATTGTTGACTGTTAACTATTCTGTACCCACCTGTGTAAAAGACATGTCTTTCATTTTACTTTTTATCCGATCCCAGTGGTTCCTCCTACCTCCCTAATCTATCACCAGTGGATGTCACGTAACCCGCTTATGCCTCCTCTTCTGACTGGAGTGTATAAAGTAAGGTGCAGAACTGCCAGTTTCCAGACCGTTTCTCAATCCATTGAGCTTTTGCTTCCTGACAATTGTCGTAAGTTTGGCTCACATAAACGCACAAAAATTCTCTGCAGGCTTGATCTTGCATTGACATGTGTTTATGTACAGTATTTATTAATATCCCTACTTGTTCTTAGGTTGATTCAAGATGACATGGGAAAGTCAGCCAGATAAAAATAGGAGACCGCTGGCGCTGAACGGGAGGAATCTGGTGCCCTCAGTAGCAGGACATTTTTATAAGGATCTGACTTACAAGGATGGGATTATAGTTCTTTCAGGAAATTTCCAGGCAATGGTGGAGAAGGAAATGAGTCAGGATTTTGAGTGTTTTAAAAAGGTGAAATTCTAAGGGGAAATCTAGTGCAAAATGGAGAAAAACAGCTGCTCTAGTGGAAGGGAGGAGTGGAGCCCACCTGCCTGCACTGAGTCCCAGCCCCGCTGGATGCCATTGTCATGTGGATGCCATACTGTGATGTGTGAGGTGACACCGCCAGGTCACCGAGCCCCAGGCGAAGTGCTTGGTGGCAGGATTATTCAGGGAGCAGAAATGAATGAACGTGAAATTCACCTATTACTCTTCCCATCACTTACTAGGGATTTCCTAGCTTTCCTTTTCTCTCAAGAGAAGCTGCTGTGCATTTGTGCTAATTCTCCAAGAGGAGTCTCCCTGATGCCGGGGCCCCATGGGACCTGTGAGGGGTGTAATCGACCTTTAGCTATTAGCATCAGAAGATAAAATTTACTTGCTTATTATTTTGGCCTTATTGTTTCCTTTTTATTTTATTTTATTTTTAAAGAAAAGGCAAAGGGAATACTTTTTCTAACTGTATTGCTTTTTCCTTGCCTTCGTTTTTTTCTAAAAGCGAGGAGACAGGTATTAACAGGCTTCTCCAGTCCATTCAGTACTCACCTTCAAATTAATCTGATTAAGACTCTGCTTTCATCATGTATCTTCCCAACCCAGAAACCTGCAGAGGCCCTGTGGTTTTTGCATGAAATTCATACTCCTCAGTTAGATCTAACAGTATCAATTCATAATTCTCTGCTCCCACCAAGCGCTAATTAAGCTACTTGAGGTGCTTTTCAGTTTTTCCAATATGACATGTTCCTTTTCCCTCCATGTGGTTAGGCTGGTTCACTGTCTGCCCTCTATGCTCCTCCACCCCCTGCGCTCAAGTTTTTCCCTCCTCTGCAGCTTCCTGAGCATCATCACCAACCCCCTTTTCGTCCCTTTGATGACTTACAGTCTGTATCATTATTATGACTTTCAATTATAAAATGCTCTGAACTGCTTTCTAAGTGTACAAATAAGATTGAAAGTCCTTGAGAGCAGAGGTTCTACCTTTTTTTTTTTTTTATTTCCCAGTAAATGCAGCACTGGATTCTTAATAAAAATTTGTAAAGCTGAAATGAAAATCAGTAGGCAAAAAATAAAAAAAATTATCAGGCATTCTGATTATGATAAAATTGAATAAGATTGTTCATTGATTTTACTTGATTAAGCAGTTTGATATTTGCCAAGTGGATTCTTAGATTTGTAGTTGATTATTGCATAATCCATTCACTGTGAAGTTTTGTAAATTAAGATTAATTGGAAAAATATGAGTTCAAAAATCAAAGAGAAATGCTTTTATTACTTTTAGCTCCATGTGATAATTGGAC